CACACCTACGCCAAGTGCGTAAGGCCTTCAGCCAGGGCTCGGAGCTCACACTGCTCTAGCGCACACACACCTGGGTGTGCCCGTACGCGTGCCCCGAGTACAACAAGGCCTTCCACAACCACACTTGATCCAGCACCACATCGTGCACACCAGCGAACAGCCCTACAAGTGCGGCTGCAGCAGCATGGCCTTCAGCTTCTCCTCCACCCTCATTTGGCACCAGAGGGTTGACAAGACGCCCCACGAGCGAGTGTGGCCCGTGCGGGGGCACCCCTGCCCAGCTGACACATCTGACCTGATACCTGAGGTCGTACTGGAAGGAGAAGCCCTTTAAGCCCCCTGCTGCCCTGAAAGGGAACCAGGGCTCAGAGAAGCTCCAAGGTCACACAGGGAGGAAGTCATAGGGCCAGGACTGCACCCCACATCTGCTGGACTACCCACCACCACCTCCTTGATCCAAAATTATAAATGTGACCCACCAAAGCAGACTCAAAAAAATATCTGAGAGGCTATGGCTGGCCTTGTAATAATTGATTTCATGACTGAGCAGGCATTTGTTCGATAAATTAAATTGGATTAAAAAAAAAAAAAAAAAAGACCTAGAACCACAAAACAACTAGAAGAAAACACAGGCAATAAACTCTCTGATATCACTCCTAGCAACACCTATTTGGATATGTCTCCTCAGGCAAGGGAAACAAAAGAAAAAAATAAATAAATGGGAGTACATCAAATTAAAAAGTTTTTACAAAGTGAAGGAAACCACCAACAAAACAAAAAGACAACCTACTGAATGAGAGAAGATATTTGCCAATGATATATTTGATAAGGGGTGAATATCCAAAATATATAAGGAACTCATACAACTTAACACCAAAAAGATAAATAATCCAATTAAAAAATGGGCAGAGGACCTGAACAGACATTTCCCCAAAGTGGACATACAGATAGCCAAAAGACATATGAAAAGATGCTCAACATCACTAATCATCAGAGAAATGAAAATTAAAACCGCAATGAGAAATCACCTCATCCCTGTCAGAATGGCTATTATCAATAAACCAAAAAATAACAAGTGCTGGTAGTAAAAAGGGAACCCTTGTACACTGTTGGTGGAATTGTAAATTAGTGCAACCACTATGGAAAACAGAATGGAGATTCCTCAAAAAATTAAAAATTGAGCTGCCATATGAGCCAGAAATTCTACTTCTTGGTATTAATTTGAGGAAAAGAAAAACATTAATTCAAAAAAATATATGCAGCTCTATGTTCACTGCAGCATTACTAGTAATAGCTGAAATATGGAAGTAAATTACATGTCCATCAATAGATGATGTGGTGTGCACACATACACACACACAGGAATATTATTCAGCAAAAAAAAAAATGAAATCTTGCCATTTGCGACAACATGGATGGACCTACAGGATATTATGCTAAGTGATATGTGTGGCATCTAAAAACAAAACAAAGCAAAAATGAATAAACAAAACAAAATGGAAACAAATATAGAAAACATGCTGACGGTTGCCGAAGGGGAAGTGATGTAGGAATGAGACTGAAAAAAAAAATACATGAAACAAAAACTGACAAAAACAAGAGGAAAACAGAAAATTCAATAATAGTGGCTGGAGACTTTAATATCCCACTTTTAACAGTGGACAGAACAACTAGGCAGAAGATCAACAAAGAAAGAAAATTACAATATTATTACAAAATTATAATCAACAAGATCCAACAGCAACACTCTACCAGCAACAGCAAAATGTCCATTCTTCCCAAGTACATGTGGAACGCTCTCCAGGACAGACCATATGCTAGCCCATAAAACAAACCTCAACAAATTTAGAAGAGAAATAATAAAGTACATTCTCTATGAAACTAGAAACCAACAACAGAAAGAAAATTGGGAAACTCACAAATATGAGGAAATTAAACGACACACTCCTGAATAACCAATGAATCAAAGAAGAAATTAAGAAAAATTACAAAATAATTTGAGATTAATTAAACAAAGCATACATCTAAAAACTTATGGGATGCAGTTAAAGCAGTAATTAAGAGGGAAATTTAAAGCTGTAAATGCCTATACTGAAAAAGAAGATCTCAAATCAATAACATTCTACCTAAAATAGAAAAAAGTGCAAACTAAACCTAAGGCAAGCAGAAAAAAGAAACAAAAAATATTAGAGCAGGAATTAATGAAATAGAGAATAGAAAAGCGATATTTAAGAAATCAATGAAACCAAAAGCTGGTCCTTTAAAGAGACAAGCTTTTAACTAGACTGACCAAAGAAAAAAAGAAAATATTCAACAAGTAAATGAAAAGATGCTTAATATCATTAGTCATCAGGGAAGTACAAATGAAAACCATAATGAGATATCACTTCACACCTACTAGGAAATCTATAATCCACAAAACAAATAAGAACAGGTAATGGTGAAGATGTAGAGAAACTGGAACACACACACTGCTGGTGGAAATAAAAAATAGTGCAGGCACTTTGGAAAACAGTCTGGCAGCTCCTCAAATGACTAAATATAAGAGTTACCATATGATTCAGCAATTCCACTCCTTAATGTCCACACAAGAGAAGTGAAAACACAGCTACACAAAACTCGCAGACTAATGTTTACAGCAGCATTATTCGTAATAGCCAAAAGGTGGAAACAATCCCAAAATGCTAATCAACTGATGAACAGATAAAATATGATGTATTCAAACAATGAGATATTATTATGCTGCAAAAGGAATGATATATGCTACAACACAGATGAACCTTCAAAAACATAACACTAAGTGAAAGAAGTCAGTCACAAGAAGACTATATAGTATGAGATTCCATTTATATGAAATGTCTGGAACAGGCAAATCTATAGAGGCAGAAAGCAGATTAGCAGTTCCCTAGGGCTGGGAGAGCTAAGGGAATTGGGATGATAACTAAAGGATAAAAAATGTTGATGATGAAAATGTTCTAAAACTGACTGCGGTGATGGTTGTACTTATCTATGAATACAGTAAAAAACCACTGAATTGTAAACTTTAAATTGGTTAATTGTATGATATGTGAATCATCTCTCACTAAACCTGTTACTTTTTAAAAATCAAGTACCCCTGCCACATGACAAGTAAGCCGAGAGCATTAAGCTGAGAAATGTAAAAGCTTTCTTTCTATCTCTAGAACACATACCACAGCCATACCTTCTTACAGGTAAATTTCTTATCATCTAAAGGTATAAGCACTGTTGGGAAAAAAATGTCTCTGTATTTTTATGAAGTAACTCATCTCTGTGTGGCTGAAATAAAATACTGTATTAAATGAAAAAAAAAAAGTCAAGTAAATGCCAAGAGACTTCACTGCCCACATTTGTATCCATGCACAAATTGACATTAGGAAGCACAATTTTTAATTATCTCAGACTAGTGAAGGATGGACACATTTTAACACCTAAATGATGTCACAGCTTAACTTACAACGGTTTCTCAGGAGTTCATGAAAAAACATGGGATGGTGGCAAGAATTTCACCATAGACATCAGTATCACATTCACAAAGCAAGAAGCAATTTGGTTTTAGCTAAACATCACATTATAACAACAGTATTAATCACTTTTATTGATTTCAAAGTTTTGTTTGTATATAATTTTATACTTGCTTAAAAGTTGTAGGTATAGGAGTTTATATAGCGTTTACATTTATACTAATTTAAGTAATACTATAGTAAGAATAAATTTAAATCAACAGTAAGAGTCCATGGGAATCTTAATATCATTAAGTTCGAACAAAGAGTGGTGATAGGGATCAAATGGCATAGTTGAAAAGTCAGATGAGTTTAGATCCCCAGGTCTGTCACTTCAAACAAGTAAAATAAAGAAACTGAGCTACATGAGCCCCAAGGTCTCTCTTTCATCTCGCAAAAATAAAAGGAGTCTACGAAACAGGTCTTTTATTCTAGGTATCATTGTTACCTATCTCTGTGCTTGTGTGTGTGCACACACATGTGTGTGCAACATAGGCAGCTGCAATTGTCCTTGTTTTTGCTTATTACGCTTGCTAACAGTTCCTGACAACTAACTTAGATGTTAGATGGAAAGAGTAATGGGGGTTAGGAAAGGTGTGTTTTAGAGACTTCTTTGGGTGGCTGCCTAGCTCATAATTCTCCCTTCAAAGTAAGCTCCCTATTCACAGGGTCCTTGAGCAGATCTTTCAACTCCCTCCTGGGAACCTGGAGCAGAGTAGCAGAAGCTGCAGAGTGGAGCAGCTGAGATGAGGTTAATGGCAGCCTTTATAAGGGACAGTCGACAGACTACCACTTCTTGGAACCCCTTTCTCTAGTTCCCACCCTTCCCAAATCCTGCTCAGTTCAAGTCTTCTAAGATCCTAAGAGGTGCTTTCCAATAAAGTTCCTCTTTTACTTTAGTCTTTTGTTGGTATTTAATATCTGAAAACAAGAGCCTTGGTTAATAAAAAGAGCAGAAAAGGTATGGAATGAAGCGTCAAGGTTAAAAAAAAAGATTCTTCCAGTAAAGAATCAAAAAAGGATAATCTGTCTAAGATGCAGAAGGGACTTAAACCAAGAAACAGTTAACTCGGCAGATAAAAGGAAACATTTAACTTGATACAGTAAGAATAAATTATTTCACTTTATTTAAACATTAGTTGGTTTTTTCCACTTTAATGTTGATGTTATATTTTTTAAAAGAGGGGAATTTTTCCAACTTTTGTGAGTTTCCACTATGCTAAATATCCCTTTTTCCTCCATCTAACCAGAGGCAGAAGGTTTAAAGGATTATGTAAGAGGTGTAAGAGAGGCCACTGTAATTCAAGCTAAGAGTTGAGGGCGATCAGCTAGAAAAAGCATGGAGTCTGGGAGGCTCACTAAAGGCAATACACTTTATAATAAATTCATTACACACATGTGGCAATTTCCAAGTATAAAAAGAAAATGAAAAAGTCAAGGGAGAGAAATATTAGCAGAGCAGGTATACAAATGAGCTACCTTTTCAGTGATGCCATTGAACTTGGCCAGGATATTGAAGAGCGGCACTTGGGGAATGATGAGCTGCTCCTTCTCATCCTTGTAGAGCGGGGCGGTAGGAAGGTCCAGTGTCAGGTACATAAAGGTGGATTCCACCATTGTCTCCTGGTACTCATCATTATGGAGCAGCTGCTCTTTTTCTTCTGCTGGCTAAAAATGAGTGAAAAGAAAAAGGAGGGTGGGAGAAAGGAGTGTGAGCAGCAAGAAACCACCACAGATAGAAACAATGTTTTTATTTACATCTGCTTCCTTTCATATTGAAGTGGAGTCAACAGATTGGGCAGTAGTGCCACCTGATTAGATTAGTGCCGAGGACAGATGAGCTTCCATCTTCAGAGAGATTTTACTTAAATACCAGGCTATTTTAAAAGCTTTTAGGGGTCTTCTGGTTAAAATGGCAGAGTAGATAAACGCTGTGCTGACCTCTTCTCACAACCACATCAAAATTACAACTAAACTACATACAGAACAGCCATCATTGGGAGTTGCCTGAAGTCTATCTGAACAGAAGTCCCACAACTGGGGACATATAAAAGAAGCTCCCTTGAGAACAACATGGATGGACCTAGAAGGAGTAAGTCAGACAGAGAAAGACAAATGCCATATGATTTCATTTACATGTGGAATCTAAAGAACAAAATAAACAAAACAGGAACAAACTCATACAGAGAACATTTTGATGGTTGACAGATGGGAGGGGGATTGGGGAAGGTGGGTAAAAAGCGGGAAGGGATTAAGAAGTACAAATTGGTAGCTACAAAATAGTCATGGGGATGTAAAGTACAGAATAGGGAGTAAATAATATTGTAATGACTATGTATGGTGTCGGCTGGGTACTAGATTTATTGGGGTAATCACTTCGTACTATATAAATGTCTAATCACTACGTGGTACACCTGAAACTATGCCAACTGTAATTGAAAAAATTTTTAAACTGTTTAATAAATAAATAAAAGCTTTTAGATGATCTAGAAAGCCTGAGCTTCTGAAAAAACACACAAGCACCACCTAGTGGCCAGGCCACTTAAACCAGCAAATCCTATCCAACTACTAATTCCCAAACTTAAGCACACACTGATGTACTAGGAACCTGAGGGAACTACCACTTGGCAGTTTTTTTGTAGACCCTATTCCTGGGGCAAGAGGACTTTCTAAGCATCTCTTTGTCAACCCTACATCCCCCTAGAAATATAAATCAGTCTGAGACTCAGATTCAACCCACTTACCAGATCAGGATGAGGAAGCTTTTTAGTGAAGATCCTCATGGACCCCTGGAAAACATCAGTCACAATAGCTGTACAAATAGAAATCAGAATGTTCTGTCAGGCTGGAAAGCACTTCCACAATATAGTCCTAACTTCTGGAATAAACCAGCAGCTTCCAGCATAAGACCCAAAACTGTCACTAAACACAGAAGTACCTTTTAATATATACCACCATGGTACCTTTATAACTATCTGTATAAATAATTTTATGCTCATCTTCTCCAGAAAAGGCCCTTTGACCCTCTAGCATAAGGCTTGGCCCTTAAAATTTAAGTGCATTTGAAATGAATGATTTACAGAGCCTGAAGATTTATGAATCACAGAAAATTCACAAGCACAAGATAGAGCTGACCCTTGAACAATATGGGTTTGAACTGCGTGGGTCCATTATATGCAGATGTTTTTAAATAAACACGTAAATGTATTTTATGATTGTCTTAATAACATTTTCTTTCCTCTAGCTTCTTTTATTTTAAGAATACAGAAAATAATACATATAACATACAAACTATGTGTTAATCAACTGTATATATTATTGGTAAGGCTTCCAGTTAACAGCAGGCAATTAGTACTTGGGGAAGTCAAAAATTACACACAGATTTTCAACTGCACAGGAGGTCAGTATCCCAACCCCCATGTTGGTTCAAGGGTCAACTACACATCAAAGGACCCTCCCATGACCACATGCTGCCTGCAAAGGGAGACAATGTTTATCATGCATTGGACATAAAAGGAAAATGGCAAGAAAGAAGCAGAATAGAACCAAAGAACTAAGACAAAAATTACAACAGGGTTCTAGAACCCTCACAGGACACAAGTCAGAGAACTCAGAGGGTGTGTACAGGCTGAAGACACATGGTAGAAGAGCAGGACCACCTAGTAGAAAGGGCACCAGGCCATACTCTCACATCAAGAAAACATCAAGAGCATCACAACACAGAAAGAAGACAGGAAGAAAACTGCATTAGGTCTCCAAAATTATTCACCTAGCTCAGCAGTCTCTGAACTAACTGGCATTCATGAAAAATGTCTAACTACTGCTAAGCCAACATGGATGCTAAGGGACATAGGGACTTAAAGTATGAGAATCTGTGTGGTAGCCAGCCTCATTTCTCCAAGTACAGGCTCGGGGCAAGAAACTAGCTTTTTAGTATGTATTACCAGTCAACTTGTAAGTCAGGCAAGCCATCTACTGAGTCCTCTTCATATTAACTCTTGCACAGCCAGAGGACTAGAAGTCTATAACATGCTGCCCAGTCCTGGTGTTTGAAACTGGGTCAGGGTTTCTAGAGCACAGTTATATCTATTTCCATTTATTAAAAATGCCACTGGCTATAACCATAGACTGATAAAGAAAAATGAAGAGCAGCCTATTCAGGAACAAAATTTAGCCCATGTATCCACAGGTATCATCATAACACAAAAAGATAAACTGTAAATTAGAAAAAGATGGGAAGTACAAACTGTTCTTAAAAGAAAGCAAACAAAAAAGAGCTCCCTTTCACAAAATGACATGACTTACTCTTCTTTTTCTTCTTTGTGCCCCCTAGAGCTGAGTGCAGAGCATTCAGAAACCAAGACAGAAAGTCGACTCCATCCCCTGGAAAAGAAGGGAGGGACGTGTTGAAGTTGAGAGGCAGTATGATAACCGAAACCACACACTGGTTGGCTTGACTCCATGTTCATGATTGCCTCCTTCCTCTGGGGCCACGCCATCCCATCCCCTAGACATCTCCCCTATCCAGCCATTAAATGCTGGCGCTCCTCAAGGTCAAGCTCTCTACTCTCTCCTGAGGTTCTCTGATCCAACCAGGACCTTCAGTCATCATCTCTCCAAACCTGTATCTCATCAACCAATAAAAGCCATTATTAAACTTCCCCTCTAAGTCACTCAGCCGGGGTGTTTTTAAACATAACTCTGAAGTCATATCTCTGCTTAAAAGCCTTCATTGACTCCCCATTGTTGTCCTCTCTACCTGGAATGCCCCCAACCTGCTTCCCCCTCTACCTAAAACTCCCTGCTCCATGCTCTCTCCCACACAGCATACTTTGCTTCCTTTATCACAGCACTTAACACCCTATAATCACCTTTTTACATAATTATCTTCTCCACTAGTATGGGGGCTCCTGGAAGAGAAAATTTGTGTTTCTTATCCCTGTAGCTCTAAAGCCTGCAACAACCATGAATAAATGGCAAATAAACTGACAGTGATGCTAGAGGATAAGAGATCCAGGTACGAAGAACTACAAAGTGTCCACTTCACTCGTGGTAATAACTAACTGGGTTTGGAAAGATAAAAACGTCAAAATAGTTCATCAGAATAGTCTGCTACATGACAAAATACGTAGCAAAGGCGGCAAGTGCTTAATAAGGGCTGATGTCTTTCCTAGCTTCCTGGTTTTCACCTGAATCATACAGATTACTTTAGCAAGTAAGACAGACTTTCTAGCCACCTGAAATCTCTTGGGAATCTGAGCAGCACAGGCTGATGAAAAAAGAATGAGGAACCTAACCCCACTACCCATTGGACGGACAAGGACGCTCTGGTTACTCTAAGGTTCAACGTAAAGTGGAAGTAAATTTGTTCATTGAACTAGTTTTATTTCACTAAAGTCAAAAAACATGAATGACTTGCTCCTTACCTTGCTTGGTGATCTGAAAAGTCTTCTTGCTGCAAAGGACAACAGCCTGAAGCATTTCATGAGGAGAGACATGCGCCTTGAAATTTCGAGGGTTCCAGAGCTTTCTCATCAGCTCTCCAAAACGCTGGACCAACAAGAACATGATATCCCCTGGAGGACGCTTGATGTTCTTATAATTATCTTCTTCCAGAAAGTAGTTCCGAAGAGGAGGAACGTTAGACAGAGCCTGGAAGGCAAACACTCCGATTAATCCAAAGCCCCTCTGTAGGACCTCTGGGAGCCAAGCTCTTCCAACTAAAGTTCTTCTAATAGAACTGTGCCTGTGATGGATGGCCTTAAAGAGTCAGAAGTAAACACTCATATTTAGAGTTCACGTTACAACAACATCCCTCCTATAGAGTCTCATACAAAGTCCAGTTCTGCAGACACTTTGTTGACATGGATATGACAAAGGAGTTTTGAAAAAAGGTATTCAAATCCCTGTTGACCGACCAGCTTATTTAATAATTTTCTTTGTTTACTCTAATTAAGCCTGTGACTATGATTGGATTCATAAAGAACTGAAGGCTATAAACTCAAATGCTCTTCATCATCCATTTGGCGTAGGCAGAAGATAACTATCTGGACAGCACAGTGTGCCCATCTCTCAACTACACATTAAAATATGAAAATCACCTTCATAAAATTTGGTGTTTCCCCAAATGTGGTATTGAGAGAGTAGTAATAAAACCACACAACTGTATATAAAAACGAATGTACTCTTTTATGACGGAAAATGATCAAAAGGTTTCGAAAATAAGTTTTAGCTCATTAAGCAAAAAGATACAGACCAGCTATGTTAGTTCAGGAAGGACTACACGCTCATTAGTATGGGCTACAAAACTGGGGGGGAGGAGAGAGGACCATAGAACAGATTCTAAATAAATGTATTCTTCCCCCAAGTCCTTCCTGACAGGTTCATGAGTCCTTGCCCGTGCTGGGCTTACTAGGAGCAAAACTTTCTTTGGTAAAGTAATCTATTTAAGGGTTTCTGCTAAATACAATAAATCCAGGTGTCTCTAGGGAAAATAACTCAGGATGCAGAGAGCACCATAACCTTAGAAGTGATGAGGAAAGCCCCTACAAGCTTAGCTCAGCCAAAGAAACAAGGACTTGCCGCTTAGAGAGTAATTACTAAAAAAAAGAGTTGCTCTCAAAAGAAGTTGAGTATGGATAAAGTTTATCCTAATTCTCAGCCACCCATGTTCTGGCTTCAGCAACAATACAAGTTAACAATAGGTATCTTCAAAGAGAAATTATCCAGTCTCCAGGTAAAGTACTTGGTCTATTCAATCCTATTTTAGTGGAAACACCATCACAGAGGGTTTGTTCATCTACTTTTAAAAAGAGAACTTCCTATGGAAACTAAAACCCACTCACAAAGCCAAGACTAACCAACCTGACCATGTTCAAATCTTATCTGTCCATCTGTAACAGTCTTCGCAAAGCCATGAGAGACTGTAAGAGGGACAGTCTCCAGTCTCTCTCCACCTAAAAACTTGACCTTTCCAGGTACTAGACAGAACACCAATGTCAGACACCAAAACTACCAGATTTACTTTTATAATGTTATACAGAGTTCTTCGTGCAAAAACATCATCAACAAAGTTTAAAAGCTAATAAGAACTAGGAGGAAATATCTGCAACATACACAATACAAAAACGCTAACATATTTCTTAATGCTCAGTAAGATGAACCAATAAAAAAGTGAACACATAAAGCTCAACAACTCATGAAAAAAATATAACTAATCAACCTCAGAAGTAAATTTAAAAAGGTAGCTTAAAATAGAGATACCTATAAAAATGGGAAAAAAATTTTCAGTGGTAACAGTGATAGTGAAAAATAAAGAACACTCTTTTGTTTTGCTGGTGGGTTTATATATTGCTATAGAACTCCCTACAGCCTAGAAGCTAGGTCCTGGATGGATTAATACAAGTGAAGGCTAAATAAATTATAACTCATCAACAAAATGGATTAACGTGTAATCATTAAGGATGCTGCACAAGAATATTTATTGATTTCACATTATAACATATAAAAATATACATATACTATGTACTTTACAGATTAAAAATATGTAAGTATGCGTATTTTTAAAATCCAGGAAAGAAATATTACAAAATGTAACTGTCACAAAGTGCAAGTCTGTAAATAGAAGGATACTCACTATAACACTGGTAATAGAAAAAAAATATGAGACAAGTCAAATTTTATCAATTAGGGAACAGTAAAACAAATCATGACAGTGCCACATGACAATATTATTCATGTGTGTAAATGTATTTAGAAAAAGTTTTGGAAGTCTGTATACTGTTAACTGCCCCAGGAGAGAGGTTAAGAAAAGAAAGAAATCAAGCTTTCAATTTATACTTTCCACATCTTCTTTCTCCCCTACAATAAGTGTTGATGTTAATAACTTTTTAATCAATTCTTTTTTGGTGAAGCAAGATTACTGTTGGTAAGTAATTTTCATATACTTACCAACATTTTCTAATTGATCTAAAATGTGCACATTACTCATATAATTTTTTAAATAACAAAACTTAACTACAAATAGGACAACTTTGGATTTCTGCCTTTCCCACTTTGGGGCTTAAGCACAGGGGCAGGACCAAGACATCTGAATGTTTGCACCATAAAAATATGCATCACCTAGCATGTGTGTTTCCTACTGGGTGTAGCCAGGCCACACACACAGACCCTATCCCTCATTCCCTGGCAGCTCCAGAGGCTATAAAAGGTGTCACCATTCAGAAGTAACACCTTGAGCAAAGATATGAATGTTATGCGTGGTGCAGAAGAAATACCCAAGCAGAGTCCTCCGTAAGACTAGGGGTCTGGAGACCATTTGACTGCACTCTACCAGAAGGCAGTCATTGCTCAGCTCAACCCTACAGTGTTCCGGGTTACCCCTCTCCCTCACTGTTCCCATCTTGATCCTACCTGAAGGACAGCATTGGCATAGTCGTTGGCCTTTATGTTATTCAGGCCCACAATACCTGGCAGGTAAGTGGTGCCATCATATGCCCGGGATAATTTGGCTTGCTTGTCCAAGTTTGCAATTTGCTGCTTTGTGAAAGTGGGCTTCAACACATACTGCAAAGCAAAAGAAAATTCTAAGTTGTTTTAGGGCAATCTACAGAGTGTACAAGATGTATTTGGAACAGCAATTTCTGCCAAAAACAAAAAACACTTTGGTCATTAATGTCTCACCACACCCCCAAAGAGCTCCCAACAATAGGTATAAAGACTGAATAACATGGAATAGGCCCTTTCCACATTACTAATATACAAGGAGGTCTCTGTGTTTAATCCAAAATTACTGAATCCCAGGTTTTCCCTCAAACCTCAGGTACAGCCAATCCCATGAAAAACGACTGCCAGAAATTGCAAGACATTTAAGTCTCTGCAGGCAGCAAGGGTCCGAGTCTCATATGGGACCTCGCGCCAGGCCAGTACATGAAGCCAGAGCAGGAGCGCCTCCACCCCTGTGTGCAGGACTGAGACCTCATGACTCCCTGTGGTTGGAGGGACAGGATTAAAACCTTCCCAGTCCTAAAGCTACATGGGTCATGTCAAAGGTGGGACAGAGGTCACCACTAACTCCCTTTGAAACCTTGAACTTATTCATTTCTCCTTTTGTAAATACTGTCCACAAACACTTTAACTTCGACTATTAAGGTGTCAATAAAAGTTATAAAAACAGAGCATTCAGCACAATAAATATGCAGCTGCTTGCTGAAGAGGAAAGTAATAATCAAAAGTTCTGTCATTAATCAAAGCCCAGAGAGCAAGGACTTCCCAGACTCTCTGCTGAAGTACAATGACTCCTGGCACAGGTCACAAACCAGAGATGAGACGTGTTAGTCATTCTGGCCACATCATGTCAAAAGTAGCTAGGGGCTGACATGCAGCTTGATATCCACTGTCTTAAGCCAGGTCCAATTCACATCCCTACTCCAAGTGTGGATGGATAATTTATTTCATAAAAACGCTTTCACCCCAATTAATAAGTAGCCATATTTTCTCAACCCTCAACATTAAAAGCATAAATGATGGCTACATTGCAAACCATAGGCTATAATATGACTCCTGACCTTCTTTCTTGGTTTCCCTGGTTCCTCTCAAAGACGAAGGGATTAAGATTCTTCTCTAGGTGGGGCATATCCCAAGATCCCTGGGATGGCTATAGAGAGAAATGGTTTGACACCAGCGCCCTGGGACACAAACCGTGATATCCTCCAGGGAGGAATCGATGATCTCATAGTTGTCTGGAAGGCAGTAAAACTTGAGAGTGTGGAGGTTGAGGAAGACGTGGTGGCTAAACTGGACACTGTGAATGTAGGCATGAGACTTCAAACCCCGGCCTGTAGGGAAGGACAGAGGGCTGTAGAGAAGGGCAGATTCCAGAAAGGCACAGATCAAGATTGATTTTCCTTTCATTATTTTGTACTGGAATGTGTTAATATTAGCAAAAACAAAGTACTATGCCATCCATGAAACGAATCTCTCATATGAACTTTCTCTCATCACAAGAGTTAGCAAAAAAGAATAGCACAGTACTTACTTTATTTCCTAGATGGCATAAGACATCGGTTGGGGAAATTAATTTCATATGCATAAATATGAAATACATGTATATACATGTAAACATACAAATGAGCTAATTTCATATATTATCAGAAATTAATATCTATGTATTATATATAATACATTCACATATTATAGATATGCACATGCACATACATACATATCCTGTGATAGGCCCTCATCACTCAGTCCTGATTTTCCAACTGCTTGCATTCAGGACAATCCTGCGCCTAACATTCCTTTAACCAATTCAAACCCTATACGTCCTGTCAGTTCAAGTCCCACCTCCACCTCCCCCTCCATAAACTCAACAAAACAGTCCAGCTAACAATGATCTTTGCGTATTTCAACTCCTATCGTCCTTATTTATAAGCAGTGCCAAACAGTCTAGCAGCAATCTGCACAGTCTTATAGAGTTTGTTGACTGTTTTATGTGTTAACCTTGACTATTCATAAGATCTTTGTAAGAGCAAGGAATGTAGTTTACATTTCTTTTGAATCTTCCACTATACTGTATACATTTCATTTGTTTGGTCTGAATGAATGAATAAATTTCCAGAAAAGACTGAAAAAGTCCTTAGAGCAAAAGGATTCTCAGAAAAAGATGTAAGTATACAAAACACAAGATTTGAAAACCCAAAATCTTTGAGATTTCCTACACAGTCTTTCACAGGACAAATTCTTTCTCCCTTTCATATGTATTCAGGTTCTGACCAATTAGAGAACCTACTGATTTGCTAAGAGTATTACAATTTGCTGGGAACAGAAATAGGGATTAGACATGACTCCTGAGAGCAGCTTAGTTTCTTAAAAAATATATATGTGTATCTCCAGAGCAGACCGGTGGCTAGCACTGAAAACTTAGCAAGTGTATAATACAAACATTTATTTACCCTGAAAGTACTTGCCGCACACCAGACAGGCATATGCATTGATATGGGAAAGGGAGATGGAACACAGTTTCTCAAAGTCAAAGTCCAGCACACTCCTAAGAGAACCAAAATAAAACAAAAGCAATTAACAAGGATGGAATTCTAGGAAAGCACAAAAGTGAACCAGTGTTGGCTCCATGTTCCACAATGTCACATAGCATCCTGTAGAGAATGGTACAATAACCACATATAAACCATGGGTAACATCAACTATTCTTCACCTAGACAATTAATATGGCGCCTTCACTGCCAAGTCTAAAAGCAATGTCAAGGTATCCCCACCAGACACACAATGCCACTGATTCTCTTTCTTTTTAGTATTTACACCCAGCTAAAGATATTCCATTGCAATCACTTTCTCTAGAGGGAAAGCCACAAGAGGAGCAAAGTAACAGGACCCCAAAAGCATTCCAAATTAAAAGACTAGGGGTTGAAGGACATAAAAAGGTGAATAAATCCTTTTATAAAAGAAAAACTTATTTTTGTCTATAAAAACCAATGTGAAGCCTGAAGAATTTTAGGGAAATACCCACAAATAGATCTGTTCGAAAACAAAGTAATGGTATATGAGTCCTGGGAAGGTAAGAGAAAAAAACTTTATCTCCACTGAATCCACAGGTGACAAAAAAAATTTTTCTCAAATATTAACTCTAATTAATTGGTAACTGTGCTGGTAAAGCTTCACATTAAAGGAACCACTACCCACACTTGACTATTGGCATTTAAATTTAAAATAATTAAAATTAAATAAAATTTAAAACTTAGTTCCTCAAGCCACATTTCAAGTGCTCAACAGCCACAAATGGCTTGTGCCTCTAGAGTATAAATTGAAAAACATCTTGAGATATCATCTGGGATTAGGAAAAAAAGAGAGTACCAAGACATATTTTTGTGGTTTCTCTGCTAAATCCCAGGCATCTAGAATTGTACCTAGCAGCACATAGTAAGTGCTCAATAAATATTGCTATTGACACTATGTATCCCACTGTTTCATCACACGAATTCAAAATGAGCTACAACATGCCCTCTGACACTTTAAATTGAAGAGCAAAGACTAGTAAACACAGCAAGAAGCACATTTTTTAATATGTTGTTCAAAGAACTTCCAAAGAGCTTCCTGAATAGACTCTGCTGTTCTTTCGCTGCCCTCAGAATCCCTGTCCTACTGACCTATTAATGGTATCCAGGTATGGGCAGTGGCGGCTCCTCCGGTCCTCGGAATCCACACGTCCATTCTTTGCTGAAAGGTAAATCACCACAGGCTGTGAAAATGGGCAACCCACACGCAGGGTCAACTACCAATACAAAGAAATACAGAAATAGGAAACATTAATTAGGGTGACCACCATACAAGTAGCCTGGCAATACCCAAAAAAAAGCCCACTAATGGAACAAGCCACAAACTGAGAGACTATATTTGAATTACAAATGATTTGTTTGCAGATAACATAAAGAAATCTAGTGAAACAATTAAAAACAAAAAGTAACCCAACAGAAAATGAGGAATACAGTCACAAACACATAAAAAGATGCTTAACCTCATCAACAATCAAGAAAATGCTAATCTTGTACAACAATATACATTCATAACCGCCGGTGTAAAATATAAAATGGGAAAATTCCAAATGTTGGCAAATATGTGGAGCAATGAGAAATGCTCATGTACTGGTGGTGGGAGTGAGAACTGTTACAACCTCTTGGAAAACAGTACAACAAGATCAAAGCTGAAAATATACAGATCCTTTGACCCAGCAATCTATTTATATACCCTAGAGAAGTTTTTGCACACATACACCAGGAGTACTTTACTAAAAAATATTTACAGCATCAATATTTAAAAGAGCCTAAGCTGGAAACAACCCAAATGTCTAGCACAAATAAAATAAAGAAATATATTTTGGCATATCATTAATGGAACACTAAGCGGCCATGAACATCTACCTGGATGAGCCTCAAAAATATGGCCATCGGTGGGGCGGGGCGGGGGGAGCCGGTGGCAAATCGGAAGACTACATGATTCCATTTACATCAAATACAAAATAAAACACGGTACTACTTTAGGGACACATATGAGGTAAAACTATAAATAAAACCAGAATTAGGAAAAGATTCAGAATAGCGATTACCTAAGCAAGGAAGGAAGGTAGATACAACTGGGAAGGGGCCTACAGCAGCTTCTAAGGTACTGGTTACATACCACTTCTTAAGCTGAACAGTGTTAGGAAACAATTCTCCATTGGTCTCTTGTGTTTCTGCACATATTGTGACCAGAGACACTAACTGCATCCAGACTGTCTTGTCAAGAATGTCTGTAAACTGAACGACCTTGGAAGTTAGAGATAGTATCTCCCTACGGAGCAAAGGAGAGGCAAGCTCACAGCCCATTATAAAAGATTCCGGCTCTCTAAGTTAAGAGTATCTTTCCTGTAAGGCCATTCACTGGATCCAATGGGTTCCCTTCATATTGCACTATGTGAACTGACTTGGGGAAATGACTTGGGAAACTAACACCAATGCTACTTTTAGTTACTGTTACTGCTGTAATAAACTGTCAAGTCCAACAGCCCCATGTCTTCCTTCAGCATCCATGAAATTGTAGCAGGCTAACTGAGTAGCTTGCAAATAGAGTAAAATCTCAGACCCTTCACAATTCTTGACCAGTGGCAGATTCAAGGATGTACAGCCACACTCTTCTTTACAATGTACTTCTGCATTACATTCAGTCCATCTTAGTACCTGTGATCTGTTCCATAATAAAAATAAAAGGAAAAAAGACAAGACAGTTAACAGCAACTGGGATCCTAGTCTGTCCCAGAGAAAACAATTTCCATACCACCACTATGCAAAATATCTAAGAAATAATTTCTCTTCCAAAGAAAAGGGAAAACTGAGTCTGACAGTGTTTAAGTAAAGGAAATTGGAGAATACCCTGAAATTATTAACTCAATTATGCAAAAAATATTTATCAAGCACTTTGTATGAGTAAGGTGCTATTCTGGACCCTATGTATAATGCAAAATAAGTCAAACACAGGACTCTGGGCAAGAAATTTAAAAGTTAAGAGTATAATCATATACAGATAACAAAGACCAGAGGCAGAAGTACAAAGTCTTGGAGAATAAGGAATACCTCTCCCCCAAATCCTGCCCCTAACATGTAGCCTAGTTATATGTTTACCTGCTACTTCAATAGGGACCTACTAATTCACCAAAAAGAAAGTATATAGGATCGTGTTCAAACCAGGAGTTCCGAGAAACAAAAGATAAAATTGAGGTAAACAGGAAAAGATTCAGAAGTGGTGAAACCTATTTAATAATGATAAGATATCCTCATTAAGACGCAATTAGGAGTCGAATGAGTGCAGCGGAGAAAGGCAGAAGGTGCAGTCACAGGGAGGAAAGGACAGACCTCGCTAGCAGTTGCTGGGACTCTTAAAGGTCATGGGTTCCAGGACTAACTTACAGAGGTACATGCACGTGAAACTCACTTTCCCAAACCACAGTGACTCAGTATCACAGGCAGGTTTAGAATCCGTATCTCCTGGCTGCTACGGCCGGGGATAACGGGGTAAGATGGTGCAGATGGCCCAGGGAGTTCAGGCACTCAACGCTCGTCTAATTCCGGAAATTACAGCAAGGCTCAATCCTCAGGTGTCTTGTAAAAACTGAAGGAAATCATAGCACAACGCCTGGCCCGCGTTAGGCATTCAATGAAGAAAAGCTGCTGCTATTATTGCTGTTAGAAATCTTATAACTATGGTTACTATTAAGGCTAGTACTATCCTCATTAAGACGCAATCGAGTCGGGTCGCGGACACCGGTGAAGTGTGGATTTCCCCCCCAATCTGGGGAGGGAAGGCTGGAAAAAGAAAAACGAGAACGCTCGAGTAAAGCCAGCGCCTACCCCAGCCAGCGCCTACCCTGGCCCCCGCGCACCTCGCACCTCCCGTTCAGGCTCGGAGTCTTCGTCCGCCTCGCGCTCCCGCTTCACCCGCACCGCCGGTAGGACAGGAGCAGCGGCCTCGCGCGCGCTCGCCGGCTCGACCTCTCGCTTCACGCGCACTGGGCTGCCCCGGGAGTTCGGCGCCTCGGTCTCCCGCTCTCGATCTCGCTCCCGCTTGACGCGACCCGAGTTGACCCGTGACTCGGACTCGCGCTTCCCACGGGTGGAAGCACGAGACTCCCGCTTGGACCGACCGGACATCGCCACTACCAGCCGAATCGTCCAGCGCAGGAGCTAGGAACGCTCAAGCTCGCGGCAAGCAGCCAATCAGAAACGGGCTGTTACGGAGCCCAAAGCTCTCTACGAGTCGTCGACGAGGACAAAATACGCCGCAGGAAACCGGAAAGTACTGTGTTTCTTGTGGCCTCTGTGATTGCGTGCGCACCTGAGGACGATCTGCGGGCCTACGGCCCACATACCCGAAATTTTCTTTTTAAAGAGGCAGGAGCCTTCTACTGGCTGAGGAATTTCTGGATAAAAGCAGCTGTCATGGGCCCCCAGGTATCTTCAAGATACTTTGTGCCCCCGGGGCGGAGGGGTTGGGAAGGGGCGTCTCCACAGTCTCCGTGCTACGGAGACCGACTCCCCTGCACAAGAGAACTAGGCGACATCCCCAAATCATCTCCTTCCTGCAACAACCCGGAGTCTCTAATTCCACATTTAGCGGATTGTTCTTGTTTTCACAGGACAACCCAAACGTTGAACAGAGGGGATTTACAGTGATGCTAATAAAACAGGCTTCCGGGCCTGTAACTTTCGCGACACCTCTTACGACCCAGGACTACTTTGTACGGTTCTACTGAGGTGTTTTAAAATAAACCGCACGTTTAAGGTGTGCAATTTACTCGATACTGCCCAATGGACGTATATACACTGGGACTATCACCAGGATCAAGATCATGAACCTACCAACCAGGCCCAAAAGTGTCTGCTTTGCCACTACTGGTTAGTTTGCGTTTTCTAAAGTTTTATATACAGAGACGCACACAGTGTGTCCTTTTTGGCACAGCCGTTTTCCCTCGGCGTTCTTAAGGTTCATCCATGCCGTATCAACAGCGCGTTCCTTTGGACTGCTCCTCAGTATTCATTCTTTGTGTACCACAGTTTGTCCCTATTCTAATCACGAACTCCCAATTTTGTCTATTTTTTTAAGGCGGACTCGAAAATGGCGCATGCTCAGACCCCCTAAAAGCCCTGGGTCCTCCTGCGGAGGCAGTTAAGACATCAGGGCCGGTGACCGCAGAGCTCTGGCACTGGGCGGGCAGTGCGGGCCCCGGCGGGGAGCTGCGCAGCCGGGGCACCGCTACGTGCTCTGCCAGAGCACTCACCTCCTCACAACTCCTAAGGTAAGTGCTCTCCGAGTCTCCCTTTACAAATGAGAAAACTGAGGGTTCAGTAGTCACGCAGCTGATGATGGAGTTTCACAGCACCCTATCCCCAGAGAAAGGACAGGAAGGCTTCACGTCGAACGCTGAGTGGTGTCACGGGTGCCCGAATTGTCTGACGTATCAGCAGTAAGCCTAAATTCTCGTTTCTTCTCCATTATGTCACAAAGAAAAGCCCCGCCCGGGGCGTGGAAGTCGCGCACGCCCCACCCCCTCCCGCTCCGGGAACTCAGCGCGCTGCGCCGCTCGGCCCCGCGGCCTTTTAGGGGCGGAAGGTCAGGCGGCTAGGCCGGAAGG